CAACACCTGCAATTCCAGTATAAACTAGAGCTCTCGTACCGAAACGCATTAAGAATGAATGTTGTTGATTGTTAGTATCCACTAATTCGTTATTATTACTAACAGTTGCATCATCTTTAGTATCTTGTTTTATGTTGTCCATTGCCGAAGTAACGTTATATTGTTTTAGTATCTATTTCATAGAACCAGTATAGCAAAGAAAACTACATTTTGTTTTTTTCTAGAGGTTTCTCTCTTTCAAAGAAATTGTCCTACATCAATCAGTCACTATTGTGATGAAATAAATCTGTCGAAATACTGTCTCAATTGTCAAAAACATTTTTGATATCTTTTATTAATATCAGCGTTTTTAATGGCTGATGTAAGGTGTTGGCAAAGCAAATTTCAAGTCATTTTTTTTTCCTTTTTTCCACATAAATCAATATAGTGTGAGCTGTTGATCACGAAAAACTTGAAAGTACTCGTTTCTTCTTGTTGCAAACTTCTAAAACTATTTTTTTTTCAGATTCACCATCAAAAACTGAGTGTAGAAAAAATGTTAAACCAACTCCAACCCGAAAAATCTTTAGATGATGGCACTTCGAATTGTACCGTGTGATGCGTATAGGTCGATTTTTGTAAACCTATCCAGGTTTTTCTACGTAAACAATAAAGACAAATATTTTATCTCATTCGACTCTTCATATCACCAATCACAAAAGCACGATCTGTTTTTTTCTTCTTTTCTTTGTCGAGAAAAATCGCTTTTAGTCGTGCCAAAACCCATTGTATGCGGTATTCAACGGTTTTCGAATTTAAAAAAGACTTTTAGTCAAAAACTAAATATAGATTCTGAATCAGCACAAAAAAAACTGAGTCAAATGAAAGATCTTTCAAGTTAATTTGACAACTTTCATTTTCTCTCACTTTCTCAGATATTATCGGAGGACTGAAATTTTTGTACTTGTGAAAAAATGAAAGTTGTCAAATTAACTTGAAAGATCTTTCATTTGACTCGTACTTTTGTGATTGGTGATATGAAGAGTCGACTGAGATAAAATATTTGCCTTTATTGTTTTTTTACTTAGAAAACCTGGATAGGTTTACAAAAATCGACCTCTACGCATCACACGGCACAATTCGAAGCGCCACCATCCAAAGATTTTTCGGGTTGCAGTCGGTTTAACATTTTTTCTACACTCAGTTTTTGATGCTGAATCTGAAAAAAATATTTTCAGAAGTTTGCAAAAAAAAAGAAACTAAACAACTTTGCACATTTTGAAAAAGTTGTGATTTTTGAAAAAAAAACAGTTCTTGCCAGTTTTTCTTAGTTTTCAACCTGAAAAAAACATTTTCTGGAGCTAAAAACTAGTTTTTCCTGATCAATAGCTCACATTCTTTCGATCTATGAGGAAAAAAGGCAAAAAATTACTTGAAGTTTGAATTGCCTGCATCTTACGAAACACAAGTAAAATATGTGGAACATCTACTAACTCTGAAATACATGTTGTTTTACATGTTGCTCTGAACAGTAGAATATTCTATGCTGAAAAAAATACACATATTGATTTCAAATCCTTAAAAGCTGTCTCTGTAATTTTGAAGCAAAGCTTCTGTTTCAATGATCGCACTACTATCATATAAACATAGTCTATAATTTATGCTTATTACACCAACTACGTAATGTTTACCCGAAATGGGATCAGTTCTAAATACGCGCGAACTAATCCTACATATGGTGCTTATTTTCTTACAAATATGTCCGATGATAAAATCAGTCCATGCAGATATCGCTTATTAATTTCCTAAGCATAGTTTTGTATGTTCTATTAAAGAAAAAAAAATACGCATATAATTGTTTGGTTTTTAGATTAACAAAACCTTCTTTTTTTTTCTATACTTAAATACACTTTGCTAATGAAAAAAAGTGTAAACATACACATTGTTTTCATATGGAAAGTTTAAGAAAATATTTTGTTTTAGATTTCAATTGAAAATACTGATTTATGCTAATGAGGAAAATCTATCAAGTGATTCATCTAATTAATATTGAGTATATNTCCAATAGTTAAGACCATTCCGATTGAATAATTCTATTTTATTAATTTTTTTTTTCTTGATAAACTAACTAATTATACTAATTTATTTCAAAAGCAACGGACAAAACACAGAAACGATTGCACATAATACACCTTAATTAATTATAAATAAATATTTTTAATATTGTTTTTGTTTTAAGCATTATTATTCGTATTGATTTTGTTTTTTCGTATTCGATCAGAAAGAAGATTTGGTTGTATATGAACACGATTCGTTTGTATTGGATCTTTACTTGATGAACTATTTCCGTTATGATCTATAAATGTTGGATTTGTTGCACTATAAATTTCTTGCGTCTTATCAATTGATGACTTAGGTGCAAAATGAAGTTGAATCGGACGTGTTAAACTCGTGATATTTTCTGTACTTGGTTTACTTATTGTTATAGGTTCAATAGGATTTGTAAATGAATGAGAACGTTGATGAAAACCACGTGGAATAAAAAATGTTTGCCATAAGTCTCGTTTTGGTTTTGACAAATAAACATGAAAAAGAAATATAAAAAATCCTTGAAATGTATTACATATACAAAATATTAATTCATATATAAAAATTGGTCGAATCAATACTAATATACCAAATAACCATGTACAAACTAAATAAGAGAAAAATAAGAAAATAATTTTGTTCTACATTATTTAAAATGATTTACTCATTGATAGAAAACAACAAATTGTTGCACTTATTTGTAATTTTGATTGATTATTTTGATTTGTAGGATCACTTTGACAAAGACTTTTTAATATAAATATAAAGAATATTAAATTACATAAAATAATAATAGATATTGGTGTAAGAAAAGTAACATAAATTAAAATTTTATTATTAATCCAACATCGAAATTCTTCTATATAACCACCATTTTTACCGATTAATAAAACCAAAATAGGAAATATTATTGGTATAATCCATCCAATAATAGTAGATTTAATAAAAAAATGCGAAATATATGAATTAAATATTTGAACAAAATGCATATATTGAACAAAAGTTATGATAAACATCCACATAAATGATGTTAATAAAAAATAATGAAAGAAAAAACCAAATATATTACAAAAATAATTTTGTTTCGTAAGACTAAATGGTATATAAAGACAATTAGCAAATAATATTGATAAACAAAGCATAAATAAAGATGCATGAAGATGATTTTTCTGTGAGCATCTAAACAAAAATATTAAAATTAAATATAAATATTTAATAAAATTTTACCGAAAAAGTAAATAAGTAATTAATGTTATAACAAGACCAAATATACATAAAGCAATACCAATATATGTTACAAATGTTAATTTAAATTCTTCATTAGTTGATAAAGGTTCTATAATTTGTTTTAATTCAGGTAACTAAATCAATAATCAGATAAAAATTCTTCAAATATGAAAGAATTATTCATTTCTCTTTAAGTATTTTTAATATTTTCATTTTGAATCATAGACCAAAACCAATAAAAAAATCTCCATTCTGAATTTAATTCGACTTAGGCAATGATTTTAAAAAAAATTTATTTATTTAAAATCGACAGTGGTACAAAATATGAAATAATCGAAGCTGTAACACTTAGAAACGTAACGGTGATGGAGATCTTGGATTGATTTAGAATTTTGCGGTCGCAGAGGTCATTTTAATAAGATAGTTAAACTTCATAAAAATCGACTAAAGATTCTCGTAATCTAAGAATTCGAATCGATAGAAGTTTTATAGAAACTCTCAAGTTCGATTTTCTCATTCGAGCAGTGACGTATCCAGGATTTTTCAGTATGCTGAATCTCGACTTCCGAGTGTGGGATCCAGATGAAACTCATGGAGGGTGATGCTGGGTCCAAATGATGAAATTTTATCAAAAAAAATTTGCANAATCATAAACCCATTTCCTTGAATTTCAAGGTGATAAACCCTTTTTATTTTCATATACCCTTAGTTTCATAAACCCTTGGTTTCATAAACCCTTGAAGGGTTTATGACGCTATCATAAACCCTTCAAGGGTTTATGAAAATTTATACTTAGTGCAAAGGTTTATGATTCTGCCCTTTTTTTTTACAGTGTAGTGATGAAGTGAATCAAACTTCTATTATTTATGCATTACTTATAACCCAATTTTATAATCAGAAATCGCTTGTTAACGTGAAAATAATACATCGTAATCAATGACTCAGTAGTCTATGAAAACTATCAATTCGTTTCACAGTCATGCAGCAATACATGTATCTGTCGAGTGTGATTTGTAAATCATAGAAATACCTCTGACAATAAAATGTAGTTGTTGCTCTAAAATTTTATAATTGTTCATTTCCGTTTTTCGAAGAGAATTAGTTAATAGTGGGTGTCAATGTAGGTACGTGTATGGTTCTTACAAAGAGAAAATCCAGCCATTCATCCATATCCTTGAGAAACAGGTACAGTTAATCGGAAAAAACATGTGGATAGGCCTCACATTGTGCGAACAAAAAGTCTTCTACAAAAGATGATTCAAATAACAGAGGACGATCTTCATTTACGTGTTTGCCGTGTTACAACTCAACCACAACTAACTGATGACAACAAAACAGAGAAGAATATCATTTGCATATTGGGTGCAAAAGCCATGCAGAAAAAGAAGATCATAGTAGGGTTTTATTTAATGATAAAAAGTATTTTTCATAGGAAAGTGTATTTAACCGTCAAAATGAATGTGATTATGTTGTGAGTCGATTGCAGGCATACGAAGAAGGGGACATAAACTAATAAGTAAAGTACCCAAAAAGAATTGCGGCATGGTTAAGGTGCTTCTACAAATGAAATTATGCCTCCAATTATTTTTAAACCTGGTGAAACATTATCACACGAAAATTATATTGAAGTTGTTCTTCCATATGCACAATTTGAAGGTAAAAGATTGCTGAGCAACGATTTCATCGGTCAACAAGACAACGCCACACTGTCTACAAATCAGGAATCTTTTGTATGATGTGAGGTGAATTTCGTTCAATTCATTAACAGCAATCGATGGTCATCAAACATTTCTGAACTTAATGTTCTGGATTATTATGTGTGGGATGCTATCACCAGCAATATACGATGGAATAAAATGAAAAATTATGATTCATTAGTTGATGAAATAAGAAAAGAAATTTGCCGCGTATCAATAAATGATCTTTTTTGAAGCGATCAAAAATTGGTCACAGAGAATTTTTTCCATTTTGAAAACAAAAAGTGCAGCTATAAAAATATAATGATCTTTGCGAACTGTAGTGCTTTTCACGCTGCATCTTGTGGTGTATTTTGTTTTATTAGTACAGTGTATTAAGTGATTACTAGTTGAAATACAAAACGCCGACATATGTTATTCCTCGATCGTTAGTTGTTCAACTGAATTCAACTATTAAGTTCGACATTACTGCTTAATACTACACTATTGCTGAAGGAAAGTCAATCCATTTAGTGATATGGAAGAATGGATGATCGTACCATATTTACACACCATCGTAATTAGACACAAAGTAGTTATACATCACGTTTTCTTTTTCTTAAATCGTTAGTTTCCTTCTCTCATTTTTCTGTAATCCTTCGGTCATCTATCATTCTGAAACACGTTCTGCATAAATTTGTCTATTATGGTGATCAATCATGTAAAGTTTCTATAAAGCTTGGCACTTCTTTTATTCATTTATGTGCAAGACTTTCGGTATTGATCAATGTAACATTCTAGATTCTGTTGCATATGACACATATGTTCTTGTTCAACATTACCAGATAATTGAAAAGAAAGTTTCGACGTATTATTCTATCTTGTTCCATGAACAGTTGTCCTATCAGCATGCGACACGCACAATTTTCTGTTCTGTGTTGAAAGAGTTCGAACGAGTATAATTCATGGAGAGACAAGATTAATTGCAGGATACTTGTAAAAAAAATTGAGATTGACTTCTCATCGTAGGCAACACAACTAAAGTATTTTTTATATTGAGACACATGGGCCCATCGATGAAGACTACCCAAATGCAAATACTAAATCTCTTTTTAATTGTTCTTTTACACCGACGATTTTGTAACTCAATTAATCCTGTTAATCATTTTCTAATGAGAAACCTACTCTTCCATCCGCGCGAGCATCTTGGAAACAATTGAATACAATTAAAAGCATTTATATCACTTTAGACCATCACATTTGTGAAGTTACATATTCTGATCAGTGCCATCAAGAATCAATCATATTGAAGCATTTTATAGGTATGTTAGCTATGAATGATGTCTATTTTTTTATCGGTCGTAGCATGTCGAAGAAAACCAACGGATATAAGAACACTTTTTACGTAAATATGATCGCACGGTTTTAAAAGTATTTCATATTTTTCATAGATTCGATGCTGACGGCATTGATCTTTTTCCAATGTGTATTAACTATCTTGAGTCAACGGTTACTTTACACCCATTTCGATAATGTGAACGATAAAGATCAGTTCAAAATAGATATCGAAGGTGGAAGCTACACAATAGAGGCAAGTTGGTATAAAGCGTACTCCAATGTTCAAGATGCAAGCTTGAAAGGAAGATCTGAATTTCGTAGAGATAATATGATTTCAGGAAATATGGCTAAGCGTTATTTCAAAGCAACCTATTTCATTCCCAATAATCCTGGCAACCAAGCTGGTATAATTGGACAAGCTATGGAACAGATTTCCAATGCTCCTTGGAAACCAATCTTCTTTTGGATGGCATGGTCTGGAAAAGGAATCGAACTGTCTGTTTATCCTGAAATCGGTCCTAATCCAATTATTAAACGAATTACAGATGTAGATCCAAGAGGCAAAATGCATACAATCGAAATGTGAGCTTATTTCACAACTGATACTAATGGATGGATGGATGGATGTTCGTTATGATAATGGTCCAGTAAGAACGATCTACAGTGGAAAAACGTTACCAACTGATAAATATCCAGGAGCCTTCAAAGTTGGTACCTATGCAGGATATAATGGAGGATATCGATCAGAAGTTTGGACGCATGTGATCGAAGTCATTGCCAGTGGAGCTCCTCCAAATCCTATCAATGGTCACAGCTTTTAAAACTTTTAAATATTCAATAACGATGATGATGATACTGTAAGTCAATACGATACACAATAAAGTGAATTCAGACTCACAGAATTAAAAGAACCACTATAATCTACTGAATTGATGATGCTGTCTATTGAAATAGTAGTGTCAAAGAATGCAATTTGATCGTTCAGAAGATAAACGTAGAGTACCGAATACAATATCAATACTTTCCACGTGTTTTGCTAGATTCGGGTAATATGAAAAGTGGCATGTGATGAATAACTCAAATAATATTCTGAAAAGATTGTTGTTTGTTTCCACCATTAGCAACTATTTAGATTGAAATCGAGTATTTTATTATTTTCATTTGTTTATGACGTCATTTGACTTTGTGTAGAGCTACAACATGCGGAGAGCCACTGTATACTATAGTATTTGAGATTGCGTTGTATTCGGTCAGCGACAGACGAGGAACATTGAATCGAAAGCCTGTAGAAGATGTCTCAAAATGTAACCATCGAGAAACTCTTTTTCTCTCATCAAAAGAGCGTTAACGTGTTGCTACTCTAAATTAGAGTTGAGAGGAACATTTACTTGAAAAAAGTGAATGTGAATTCGTTTTTGTTGGTACGACACTTCAATCAAAAACAAGTTTAACTTTTATCTGATTTTTATACCGATTGCAGAGGAGTTAATTTTGGCTAGAAATATTATTCATTCATGTTTTCTAGGTCAGTCAAGGCCAAACAAATGCATTATTATACTCTCGCAAGGTACTCACACTCGAAGGAAAACTTCTTGAATGTACGCAAAATGTCTAATTACAGCATATAGCAGCATTGGTATGTTGCATAGTTTACTATGGAGTAGTCAACTACTCTATCTTATTTTTATAGAGCACTTCATTTGGATCAAATATTATTAGTATTCATTCGTCTAAGAAAGACAACGACATATATGGATTCCCTTAACTAATAGGAAAAGGAAACTGTAGGATGTAAAAATGTCGAAATATGAAAAACATCGAAATAGATATATCCTCATGAAAGTTTCAATGTTTTAACTTATGAAGGAACATATTCGAGTGTTGAACGGCACTTGAACCCATATTTTGGCTATGAGTAAGACTCAGTAAGACTAAGTGACTCCTAAAAGGACTCACTCCCATGGCGTGCCTGGACGTAGGTCTGATTACCATATAGTTGTAAGACAATGGAGTTTTTTACTTTTTCTCGTTTCGTTCCTTCATTCAAAGAAGTTGAGATCTTGAATTTTTAACATAAAATTTTCATTCGATACATTAAGTGGCATTTATATTTTCTGAGAAAGGTTGGATCCATCACGACACAACGTCCATTCAAGTCTATCATGTAATGTAATAGTTAATTGAAATCCGTTTTTTTTTTCTTATACAAAATTGTAGCAAGAAAAAAATAAACTAAAAGAAATGATATCTGCTGAAGAATTGATCGAAAAAGAGAACATATCGACATCAACACACTAAAATAAAATGTGTCACAGTTAGAATGTGTCGTACACGAATTTGTCGCGTTCTGTCTGCTGACTATCCATTCATCACTTTGTTTTGCACATTTAGATAAATATAGACAATCTTATCTCACACTTGAAAAATAAATTTATCTTTTAATATTATTTTTTCTAGAGTATTTCTTCATCATTTTTTTAGTAAATTATGCCACTCTTGATCCTCGATCGAGAGAGGACGACTCTGAATTGGTCTGATTGAGATCGAACCAACTCGAGACCGGACGAATCTCATGATCTGATCTGCTCGAGTGTTTAGAAATTCCAAAATTAAATGAAAAAAGATTCAAAAAAAAAATATCGTAATTTTCTTTTAGAGAAAAAAATAAAAAATGTGATGCATACTGAATTCGAACCACGTTTTAGGAATGTGTCGTACACGAATGTGTCGTGCCGTCGCTGGGTAAAATGTGTCGTAACGAGCACCTCGTGTCGCATTTACAATGGAGGTGTTTCAAGTGATAAGCGAAAAACCTAGATTTATTTACCTCAAATGAAAGCTCTCAGCGCCAAACTAACAGGGTTAAAATATTAGCGGCCCTTGGCTTGTCTACAGGGAGATAATCGATTTTTACGATACTGGCAATCTGAGTATATATAGAAACATTATGATTATTTGCATTAGTTTTTTGTGCATTTAATTGAATATTTCAGTAGTAGGTAGTAAGAATCTTTCTGAAATTCATCAAGTACATTAAGACCACATTAATTACAATGTCTTCTGAAGCTGAGGTATTATCGAGATAAAAGAAAAAAACGTTATATGTTTGAAGCATGACCTGTATATTTGATATTTGAATTTAAAGTGCATTGATACATCACTTGGTATTCAAACTGATAATCACTTTTTAATTGGTGTTAAGATATCACAAAGAAATATAACTATTGCGTCATAATTATTCTTGTTTTGTTCACTGCTATATCTAACGTGTAAAAAAGTTTATTTAACTATATTAAAACATGAATTTATTAAATATTGTTAAACATCTTCTCTACTTGACTCAAACTGAATATGGTTCAGAAAATTCTTCAACAACTGCTGATGAAATTTTGACTGCCGAACGATTATTCGAGGTTTTAAAATCTAAAAATGTCAGCTACTTCACTGAATTGTATACATATGACACTCTCGATCTCAACGATGAATATGATGAACTGATTGATGAAGAACAGAGCAATGATGACATTAATGATTATAATGAAAATGAGCATTCTGATATAAATGATCATTTTACATTAGAAGAAATAGAAAAAGTAGCCGAATGGGTTGACCAACATCCAAATGCTGGACTTGCAACCATTTCACAGAGATTTAAAAAGGTCAAATACATGTATATATTACAAGATTCAGACAATGCATCGAAAACAACGGCACAAGATTAGAAAAATTAAATCAAATTAAAGAATTTATGATTAATGAGTTCTATTTGAAAAGAACAGTTGAAAAAGAATCCGTTCATGATGCTGACCTAGAATTATATGCAATTCAAAAAGCAAGAGAATTAACTTGGAATACCTTCAAGACAAGCAAATCATTTATCAACATTTTTAAAAAAGAAAACAGAATATCATCCAGAAGATACAACAAAATTATTACTCGAACTAACCCAAATAGAATAAATTGCACTCTAAATGGCTCGTAAACTTATTTGGTCTCTAAATCCACATGTCTTAATGCAAGAAACGCATTTTTTTAGATGCTCATAATTGGATTGAAAGTAAAAGAAGTTTCATTTCAAAGTATCCGTCTCATCAAATTTTAAATAGCGATCATTGTTCATTTCAACAAGAGTATATTCCGCCAAGAACTCTTTCTTTTACTGGTGAAAGAACAACAGAAGTAGTTGGAAGAAAGAAATATAATGTCACACATTCTTATACAATTCAACCAGTAACATCAGCTAATGGCCTTTTATTAGACAAGTTTTTACTTGTACTTCAAGAAAANCAAGAAAGCTTTGAGCCTCACCATACACAGCTAAGTGTTTCTGAAAAGCTGGATATGGGTATGAATGTAAATGAAGAGAAGATCCACATCAACACTCACGCCCCACACCTGCATTCAGGAGAACACTTTCTGTCTTGTTGTCCTCCTCCGTTCTGACAGGCTTCAATACAAGATAGGAGATCAAAGTCGTCCTGTCATGTGCTCATGTCAGATCCGTATATCTCTTAATTTCATAATTTCTATGTCTGTGTGTTTCCTCTAATAATATGCTATTGAGTTCGTGTATACACTACACCAATTTAATTTCTTTTTAACTATTCTTCTATTGATATAGTTTTTGTGTCCACTTCGCTTGCCCTTATCCTTTTTTCCAGTGATAATCTGCCAAGATTTATTAACTATACATATCTCACAGCATGAGTTGATAGGTTTCAGTTCTCTGAATTTCGGTTTTTTTTGGTAGGCAAGGGCAACATGGCGAATACAGCATACGTGGTCAATTCAACAGTACTCATGTGGTTAGATCGAGAGTTCATTGACGATCGTACGGCGACCATAGAAGCACTACGTAGAAATGTTGGTCAATTAGAATTATATACTGACCCTGTGATGTGTGAGGCCGCAATACGACGCAGTAGTACCCAAGTTATTCTCATTGTTAGCGGGCAACTAGGTCGAGAATTAATACCGCGCATTCAGCATTTGCGGCAACTCATTAGTGTTTTCATTTATTGCATGGACAAGCAGCGTAACAAGGAATGGAGCAAATCCTACGATAAGGTAAATACACAAGTCATCATCATAATACTAGCAACATCAAAAGAACACTAGACTACTGCATTAATTCGCCGTACGTTAACTTTATTTTATTAATGTGCTTGGCTAGTTTTCACGATCTACATACGTAGTATTGGTCTTTAGCTAACTATTAGTTTCTGGATACTTCCTGCGCTCATGAATATTTCCTGCAAAATCTTGGTAGAAGAGTCTTCTTTAGATTTCCATCTTAATTGAACCTCTTTCTTAAGACTACAGTTTAAATTGTATTTGAGCATGTAACTCAGCAGAGCGACCAGAACACTTTCATAATGAATATCTGAAACTTGAAAAGAAATCTCTCTTATTGAAAGATTACTACCAAAGAAAGCTTCGACCAATATCAGTTTTTCCTCAGTGAAGCGTCAAACACTTTTTTTTTATCCAGACTGATATTCTCGTTTAAATGCGTTAATCACTAGACTAATAGCAGTGAGTTGATAGGTCGTCATTTATCTGTGTCTTCCGAAACAGTTTGAAGCCATATAGAACGTCTGCATGTGATGGTTTTTCTTAAACTGATCACCTTTCATCAAGAAAAAACCACACTTTTGATCTTACTGTTCATTTTGCATCTTTTTGTATGATATGTAATATAAATTGAGAAAACATACTAGTCGGCTGACCTTTTATATGACTCCTATCATTAAATCATGGATCCACTTTACCAATTCTGAACCAAAATGATTGGACTCGTGCCAGATTGATCATTCTCGTGGTTTTAAATTAATATGCGTAGTGTCAATTTGACTGAGTTGAGCTGCACTGAAAGGAGATGAACGATAAAAAATTCGCTTGTGTTCTCCTTTTTCTATGCCGTTATGCGAGATGAAAACCATCGAATTCAACAGAGCTGCTGACATTTTGTTGGGTTTGGTTTCGGATAAACATTTACATTTATTTTTAGTGCGGATAAGATAGGGACATCATTTTTCATTAAAACCTCTTTATCTTCTGATTGATTACAACTTATTCAGTTCGTTCAGATGAAGACCTAATTTTGCTCCACTGACATACTTTCTCAGGCACGAATTGTATGTATAAAATTCCATCTGGTAAGACTTACTCTGTTCTTTTAAGACACATTTCGAAAAGTTCACGGAAGAAAATATCGAGAAGAGCAAATATAAATGTATTCAGTAACTAATACTTTGCGTGGATTTAAATGATATTAAAGTTTTCAGCTCATCTCACGTCCGCTCACGGTATGGAGAATGGTTTTAAAAGTTATAACGATGGATTTACGCATCATCAACTAATATTTATTGCATTACTATTTGACGAGAACACATCTGATCACCGTGACTACTATATGATTTAAGAGGGTTATGTTAAATGCTAATTTCAAGCCCTTTTGTAATCGACGAACTAAAAACCAATCGTCATTCATCGTGATGCTCTAACACATTTATATATTTTAGAAGAGCCGTATTTTTCGAATCATTCACATTGACTAGTTCAATCGAGTATTGCTCAAATAAACTCATGAATTTATTGTTCTGGTTAAATTGTATGTCACTTTCATCAGACAAATTTCTCACGAATTTTTCAGAGCGATAGGTGCTGAAGGTTTTTTTCGAACTAAAAGTAGTGATTGGATCTAAATTTATTTAAACACTCAATGGCTCAAATAACCACGTGACATAAGGCAAATAATGTTGTTAAAAACGCCTTTTGTATAGACACAGACATAAAGGACTTGTTAACCAATTCTAGACTACACGTACTTGATCGAAACAGTGAAAAACTTTTTAACTCACTGTTAAAGCGATAACTTGAGCTCTGAATTCAAATATTCTATTTATTTTTTACTCCAGCACTTTTGTTCTCAGCAAAATGAAGAGATCTATTTGAAGTAGAGCGTGTTTAAGCTCACTACTTTTTACTTTATTGAGAGAGGAGAGAGATTCACCGATCTTCCAATGTTATTGCATACATATCTATTTTTAAATATCATTTTTTGTACCATTTCCATGAATTTCCTGCTCTGTCTATCACTACATGCCAGTTTTGAAAACGACTTCATGTAAGCCCCATTTTTTTCCGTTTTTGCAAATTGGCTTCAAATAAGTAAGTTCTTCATAGCGGTGTTCGTCCCGATAAAGTCGTTGCAAGACAATCATGGTTTTATCACAGAAAAATGTCTTGAAGTTAAAAGATTATTCCTTTAGGCTCTTATTAGAAAGAATCTCAAGAAAACGCGGTAAGCTAAAAGGAAGGGTATTAGGTCGTGAATCATTGCTACTGAGACCTTTACCCGAAATAAGTTTTTTTTATGGGGCCTCTTCATTTGAAAAATATGTTATCAAAGTTTTGAGTATAAATCAAAATCATTATCACTGATCCTATCTAACGATGTCGCTTTTTCTTTGTATACAATCTGGCATTTTAAACTGTGCATTTCTGCATGTACTGCTTTTGAAAATTTTATATAAATAACCCTTGCAAAGCAAAGAGACAAACTCTCATAGTGCAGCACGCTTCAGAATCGTGCAGGTTTGCATCTGCTAGGCAAATAGAGACTTAGACAAAAGTTTCAGCCGATTGGCAGAGTTGTTGGTTCAAAAGAAGTATTAAAGAAATTTTCCGACACAATTGTTACCCTATTCGATAATACTTATTCGAATCACAAAACTTTTTCGTTTTATTCAATCTTATGGAGTTCACTGTCTGATGTCTTCTCAGTAGTTTCCAGTAGCAACTTCGACTTTTTAATATGAAAGGCTTTGGAATCGAGAAAACTTAAACCAATACTCGCATAGTTTTCAGTTACTGTGATGAACAAGCAAATAGCTTCATATTAGCCAGTCTCTGATGTTCTTTGCATTGGATGTGGGTGTGGGTGTTATCTTCTCTTATACCCACACCCACACCCAAACCTAGATTTATTTACATCAAATGAAAGCTCTCAGCGCCAAACTAACAGGGTTAAAATATTAGCGACCATTGGCTTGTCTACAGAGAGATAATCGATTTTTACGATACTAGCAATATGAGTATATATAGGAACATAATGATTATTTGCATTAGTTTTTTGTGCATTCAATTGAATATTTCAGTAGTAGGTTATAAGAATCTTTCTGAAATTAATCAATTACATTAAGACCACATTAATTGCAATGTCTTTTGAAGCTGAGGTATTATCGAGATAAAAGAAAAAAACGTTATATGGTTGAAACATGATCTGCATATTTGATATTTGAATTTAAAGTGCATTGATGCTTCACTTGGTATTCAAACTGATAATCACTTTTCAATTGGTGCTAAGATATCACAAAGAAATATAACTATTGCGTCATAATTATTCTTGTTTTGTTCACTGCTATAGCTAACGTGTAAAAAAGTTTATTTAACTATATTAAAACATGAATTTATTGAATACTGTTAAACATCTTCTCTACTTGACTCAAACTGAATATGATTCAGAAAATTCTTCAACAACTGCTGATGAAATTTTAACTGCCGAACGATTATTCCAAGTTTTAAAATCTATAAATGTCGCTACCTCACTGGAATGTATACATATGACACTCTCGATCTCGACGATGAATATGATGAACTGACTGATGAAGAACAGAGCAATGAGGACATTAATGATTATAATGAAAATGAACATTCTGATATAAATGATCATTTTACATTAGAAGAAATGGAAAAAATAGTCGAATGGGTTGATCAACATCCACATGCTGGACTTGCAACCATTTCACATAGATTTAAAAAGGTCAAATACATGTATTATATTACAAGATTCAGACAATACATCGAAAACAACGGCACAAGATTAGAAAAATTAAATCAAATTAAAGAATTTATGATCAATGAGTTCTATTTGAAAAGAACATTTGAAAAAGAATCCGTTCATGATGCTGACCTAGAATTATATGCAATTAAAAAAACAAGAGAATTAAATTGGAATACCTTCAAGGCAAGCAAATAATTTATCAACATTTTTAAAAAAAGAAAACAGAATATCATCCAGAAGATACAACAAAATTACTACTCGAACTAACCCAAATAGAAAACATTGCACTCTAAATGGTTCGTAAACTTATTTGGTCTTTAAATCCACATGTCTTAATGCAAGAAACGCATAATTTTAGATGCTCATAATTGGATTGAAAGTAAAAGAAGTTTCATTTCAAAGTATCCGTCTCATCAAATTTTAAATAGCGATCACTGTTCATTTCAACAAGAGTACATTCCGCCAAGAACTCTTTCTTTTACTGGTGAAAGAACAACAGAAGTAGTTGCAAGAAAGAAATATAATGTCACACATTCTTATACAATTCAACCAGTAACATCAGCTAATGGCCTTTTATTAGACAAGTTTTTACTTGTACTTCAACAAAAAGAAAATACTCTAGGTAAAAGAGTACAAAAAAATTTAATAATACTACCAAATGTTGTAGTAAGAGCTTCAAAATCAGGAAAAAGCAATGACGAAAACCATCACGCTTTTTTAAATGAAGTTCTACGTCCATTTGTTGGTAAAAAATTTCTTCTCTTTCTTGATACTTGGAAAACTCAAGCTGATCTAGCGAAATTTAGAGCAGTATTTCCTCATCAAGACAGTCAATTATTGATTTTTCCTGAACAATCTACCGGTTATATTAAACCACAAGATCTGTCTTTATTTCGGTCATGGCGATTTATTCATGAAAAAATCGAACATTATACTCATATTAACCGAACAGAAATAACTATAGGTGATCGTCAATATTTTATCAACATACATTCTGTTATTCATAATCAATTATCGGCTCCACCATTTAAAAATCCAATTAAGAATGGATTCATACAAGCTTGAATAACAAATGAAACAATTGGACAGATAGAAAAACCAAAGGATGTTTGCTTCAAGTACTATGATTTGTATTGTTCAATTAACAACTGTAGCGAATGAACACTATTAAAATGTGCCTGGTGCGAAAAAGCTCTATGTTACTATCATCTGATTGAAGATATACATCTGCACTTGTAGAACATTTTCTAAAATAATATATTGTATAATACATTGTTATGTATTGGAAAAAGAATAGAACTATCTATAAGTTTAAGATTCTGATAACTGCCCGCCGATCTTTTTTTATATTGGTATTACTTAAACTTCAGACAATACTGAAATTAATGTGATCTTAATGTAATTGATTAATTTCAGAAAGATTCTTATAACCTACTACTGAAATATTCAAATGAATGCACAAAAAACTAATGCAAATAATCATAATGTTCCTATATATACTCAGATTGCTAGTATCGTAAAAATCGATTATCTCCCATCGATGTGAAGCTAGCACGACGTGAAGCTACCACGACGGATTTAGCTGATCTCTGGATAGTGAGAGTTCGAACTCAAAGGTACAGAATCTGCATGAAAGTGATGGATATGTCCTTTCGAGCACCCTCACGCAGGTTCTGTGCCTCTGGTTTCTAACGTTGAGGATCCAGAGATCACCTAAATCCGTCGTGGTAGCTTCACATCGTGCTAGCTTCACATCGATTTATCCTCCCTGAGGACAAGCCAAGGGCCGCTAATATTTTAACCCTGTTAGTTTGGCGCTGAGAGCGTTCATTTGATGTAAATAAATCTAGGTTTTTCGCTTATCACTCGAAACACCTCCATTGTAAGTATTTTTATCCATGTAGGTACAGAAGGTTGTCACAGATATGAACAAACTAAAACGCTACGTTCGGCGTGAGCTTCAACACGTGTCAGCGCTGGCTTCGAATATACAGCCACTAATCATAGCACAAGAATCATCTACTACACAGGTTGCTCATTCGTTTGCCCGAAACTCGTTCAGGCGCTGGCAAGAAGATGATCAGCTAGGGTTCGACCAAACGCAAGTACAGAAACATGAACTATCGACTCTCAATTTTCGTTCCACTCAAAATAATAAACCAAGAATGGAATTACGAGTATTCATTGAACTTGTCGTTCGACTTCCAGAATCTCGCGACCCAGAAGACCGAAAACCATTATGTGATTCATTACAAGACCAGTATAGTTCGAATTCAGCTGCACTCGAAAAGATTAACAAATTCGAGAAAGAGTATCAACCGTCTCAAGCCATCTTATGGTATACGTATGATAGCTGTTTGTACAAGGAATTGAATTCCGCGCTGCGACAATTCAATTATAGTCGTCTTGTCGATTTTGCCTTTTTCATTCGTGACATATACCATATACTTTCTTTCGAACAGAAGAAACGGCCGTTGTCTAGCAATGGATACCGACACGTTTTCCGGGGACAGATGATGTCGAAAGTTGAATTAGATTTGCTGGCCAGTATAGGCAGTGGAAATCAAGGCCAAGCGGACAATATATTGATGGCGTACCTTTTGAGAGCTCAAGCAAATCCAGAAAAGCAGCCTCTAGTAATGTGCTCTTTTTTGTCCACGAGCAAACGACGTGACCTGGCAGAAATGTATTTGTCGAGCGTGCAACGTCGAAATGAAGATATGCAAGCGGTTCTCATCCATATCGATATAGGCGATAGGCCTGCTGCAACGTGCGCATCCATTGCTCATTTAAGCTCATTCGGACTCGCTGAGGATGAAGTTATCTTCATGATTGGAAGTGTTTTTTGGCTGCGCAGCGTAGTGCAACACAGTCAGTATTGGATTGTCGAACTCGAAGCCTGCCAAGTGTATGAACAAGCAAAAAACTCTCACAGTTCAAATAAAATTGTCAGCGACTTGATAGCGCGTCAATTAACGCAAACTCTGAGTGAAGTCAAGAGTCTGCCACAAGTATTGCATATCTTATTCGACGATGAAATGGACTCCATGATAAATATTGAAGAATTATTTGCAATGTGCAAACCTAAGTTTCCTGATATGAACAAGGTAACTTGGACTGACTTAGGCATATTTTTCTTCTCATGTGAACGATACCAAATTGCAGAGAAGACATTTAAACGTGCTGTAGCTGCTACTATCGAAAACGACAGCGACGACAAGCGAGCAGAATGCTACGAATATGTGGCGAAACTCGCACTAATGCGAGGTGATACAGAAGAATATAAACTATTTTCAAAACACAAAACTGGAATTGATTTGAAATTCATAGCACATGCACTAGGCTTGACATTCAATGAATCTGCTTTTCACCGAGATCAGAATGTGGTTGAATCACATCTGAATGAGTGTGAGAAGCTTATAAAGCAGTACAATATTCTGCCAACAGTTTACACATCGGACTCGAATTTTTTGAACACTTTTCAACAACTTGTAAAAAAATACACATGAGTGCTATTCATCTTATTTGATATGAGGAAATGAAAAGATTCAGCAATTATATCGAGAATAGGGTGTAAGTGTGCTTCATAAAGAGAATTACGAATTCTAAACTATTTACGATGATCATTTCAAGAAATTGTTTTCGATTTAGTACAGAAACTTTGATTGAAGCTTTTAAGGGTGTGGGATGTACTTTTCTATTCATCCACACCCACACCTACACCCACCCCTCTCTTATATATTTGTATTTCATTACAGAAATGTATTCCCATGTCGTCAAAATCGCCTAAGTTTTAACGATTAATCGCGATTTTTCAGAATACTAACGATTAATCGCGATTAATCGACGATTTTTTTATATTAGCGATATAGTGTGATTGAATCGGCGATTTATTTAACTTAATATTTTTTGACTCTAGCTGAGAAGTGATAGCAATTCTCAGTAATTTCTAACCTGAAAACTAATTTTAGAGTATATGGAGTATGCTATACTAGAGAAGTTTGGAACCTCTCCAAAATTAGTATGTTCAACTATGTAATATATGATACATGTCATCAAAATTGGCTAAGTTTTAACGATTTATCGCGATTTTCATAAAAGTTAACGATTCATTGCGCTTTCAACGAAGAAACAGTTGATTAAGCGCGATTGATCGTTGACTTTTTGAGTAACGAAGATGTATGGTCATAAATCGTTGATTATTTTAAGAGTTGTGATTGGTCGGAACTAACTNCAGCAAAGAATGTTCTTTCTCTCTTTCTCTCCTCTTCCACCGGTTGGTTCCATCTCCTAACTATGATAGAGGGATAAAGATGGCCGTCTTATGTCAGGAGATGTCTCTACTGACATAACATGGGTGTATGGTTATATCAGATGAACTCACACCCTCTCACCTCTGCATAGAGCTGTAGCTCTGAATATTTACCATTAAACTTGTGGCTTAATAATGACCCATTGAAAAATATTGATGACAAAATCATGATTATTTTTGATTATGTGTCTAAAAATCAGATTTTTCCGAGGAAATATCGAAATTTTCCAGAAAATCGGATTAAAATCGATTAAAAATTACAAATCGATTGAAAAAAATAATCTTTTTTATCGATTATTCTTGATTATCACGGTTGCAATCAGATTTTAATCAACAATCGATTTTAATCTTTTTAATCCATTAAAATCTCAATCCAAGAAATTCAGATTGACAAATTGTCATCTGTTTATTTTTGATTAAATAGGTTTCAATCAAATTTTAATCAGCAATCGATTGTAACCATTTCAATCGATTGTAATCTTAATCTGCGATAATGAAATTACTGCATTTTGAATTGTTTTTAATCGATCACTTTTTGCAACAATACAATTTGATGTACAAACTATTTGAATAGTTTTCCTTGTTAATCAAGGAAAACTATAGTAGTCTCAATGCTGGATTTATAATGGGAATCTTAAACCCAGGTCGACCGTTCCGGCCACCGGATACTGCAAGAACCGGCAGAAAAATGCAGGAAAAATCACCGTATCCCGCAGGAAAACAGGGGAAATAGCCGGAACATGGAAGCAATATTCCTGCCGGAAAATTTCTGGATTTTTTTCGGTGAATTCCAACCAATTTCCTGTGTTTTCCAGCAGAAACCGACCGGAAAATCATCGGAAAAAATTCCGAAAATTTCCGACCGGAATACTGCTTCCGTGTTCCGGCTATTTCCGATGTTTTTCAGCTGGAACCGACCCGTACTTTTCGACCTGGGAAAGAAAGTTTCTGAGGATTTTGCTGGTGCTTGGTATACCTGCTATCGGAAGCGCTGTCTAATTATATTTATAAAAATATACCCATAACATTATTCCATACGAGAGCCCTTGAAAATCTGCATGCTTCATTACTACACCTTTTGTTACCAAGGTACACTATACAGATGCTAATTAGAAAAGTATGAGCTGCAATCTATGCACACCCTTTTTTATCCGAGCGGAAAATAGCGCACTTCAGGAATTCAAGACTCCAAAGACTTTTAAAGACCTCAGAAGATTTTAGAAGACTTCATAAGGCTTCGTAAGATTTAAACACTTCAAAGTTTTCAAAGACTTATGAAGAGTTCAGAAGACTTTGATGCACTTTAAGACATAAATTCTTCGACACACCTCTTAAAACTTACACAGATCTTTAAACACCTTTGAGTAGGTATGTGATACCTGTAGCTCATTTCGAAGAGCTGCAGCTCACCACGTAGCTCGAGCCCACGAGAGTTGGAGAGGGATACCAAGAGGTACCACTCATAATTTTTCAAGCGCTAACTCGGTACAGGGGACACCCGAAACTCTTCTAGAGGTTTCCTAAGGGATACCCATATGTCCTCGAAGGCTGTTGTATCGAGGAACTCCTAAGTAGGTGTGTAACAGCTCCAGCTTGGCGGCTCGCTAGAGATATATCTGTGTCTTGGACAGCTCACTTCAGCTGCACCTGTTTTCTAGCTCAGCTGCCATTGGCTGGAGAGGATCGCTAGTTCTTGCCATGGGACTCATGTTATAAGTTTTCCAGGGCTATGTATGAGTGGTGCCAGCACTTT